CTTTAACCTGGTTTATACTGTAGTCTTGCAGTCATGCTCGAATCTGTCTTGTGCTGTTAACTGTCCTGTGTGTCAGCCTTGGCATTCGCATTGGAGTCACCCTGAGTAGAGTGATCAACATCCCTCACATTGAAGAGTGTCTTGCATCACTCGCTCTTTTAGCTGTTTCTCTGTTGTACTAATTTATGATCCACTCCTTACGCTTCTCAGCTCAGCCATTCTTACATTACAGCCTTTGATAAGAGGTACCATCCTCTCCCCTACAGAGTACATTCATCTTCTCCAAATACCTTTAAGCAGTTTAATCACTTAATCCACACGTGGTTATTTAAAAGACAGCAGCAACAACACCTGACCATCAACGTGCACGTACAGTGCATTATCTTGGCAGCAAACACTCGTTAAACACACGCGCTCAAATGATCTACCCTGTCAAGCCCGAAAAAAAAAACAATACCTTCAGGGGTTGTCTGCTCTGCAGGGCACAGTGCCAACAAGGATGTTACAAGGTCAGAGCTGAATGAAAGAGTCTAATTCACGCTTCATAAACAGACTAGTCAATGATGTCAAGCTGGGACACTGTAATCATTACTAATCATGGGGATAGAAATGGGTTAATTGGGAAATAAGCTATCAACCACAACAATGGACCACTGCAGCATATCGTACGTAAAAAAAACAAACAATAAAACGCACAAAGATCTAAAGTCCCAGCACGTGTTTCTACACCTGACCTAACCTGAACTTAAACACCAAAACAAAGTGACAGGTGGGACATACACAATTTAAATACCGCTATCGACCGCTTCTGGAAGGCAGCGCGCTGGGAACAAACGAAGGGATGGGAGGGAGGAAACGATGCTAGGGATTCGAACCTTACGGCACAGAACAGGTTTTTTAGAATCGTCCGAACATTTTCCCTCCAAAATTTACTTTGATTTCAATTACTGTGAAACTTACTTTGCACCAAACAATCATATACCCTGCAGCCAAGAAAGCTCAAAAGTATTTACATTTATTTTGTAATTAAAATCACTAACGGCCATGTGATTATTCTTGATCAAAGAGCAGTGAAATTAACATTTCTCTGATACCCTCCCCTCTGGGTCTGTTTTGTTTACGCTTGCGTCTTCAGTTTCTAATGGAAGTGAGTGGCTAGCATTAGTTATATAACGCGGAGTGAGCAACAGAAAGGTGCGACTTTTATAAAACATGTGAAAACGTTGTACTCCAATGACATACACCACTTTCAAACACGAAGCAGAGATTCACAGACACCTATCAAGGCTGTTTTCCCCTGTGCCCTTAAAATCAAAAGTGCTTTTTATACTGCAGAATACCATCAGCGCTAGCAGAACATTTTTAGAATTGCATAAAATTCTGAACAATATTATAATTATTTTGCAACAAACATCCTAAATATGAAATTATTATATAGAGTGGCAACGATAAATCCTGCATTGATTTTTTTTTCATGGCATTCAACTGGTCTTTGGTCATTAGAATAACCAAAGAACTGATTTATGTGTAGGAAACATTTGAAAACTTCATCAAGGGCCTTTTTGTGAGACTCCCCCAAGTTACTGAGGCCCCCATTTTTTTTCTGATCTTAACAGCAGCATTTTATGCTGCAGATAGGGCCCCAGTGATGACTTTAGTCCAGGGGCCCCCACCCCTGTAAATCTGGCCCTGGACTTCAGGTATTTTAGGTCTCGCTTAGCTAGCGGCCGTCGTCAGTGCGCTAACGACGCTTCACCGGCGACCTGGGTGAACTCAGCAGGATGTGACACTCACCAATCGCTAAGCCCCTGCCAGGCCGGTCAAAGCAGGCTAGCTGGGGGCCAGAGGATGCTGAAAGGCACAGGAAGGGCCGCTAACTTCACCCCTTGTCTTATATATTTGCAACTCTGTAAAATAGCCTCCATTTGCCCTAGTAAAGAGCTGTTGGACCGGTCTTCATTTCTGGGGATTTCGGGTTCCAAGAAGATGCTTCCTTATAAGAACATAAGAAATTTACAAATGAGAGGAGGCCATTCGGCCCATCAAGCTCGTTTGGGGAGAACTTCACTAATAGCTCAGAGTTGTTAAAATCTTATCTAGCTCTGATTTAAAGGAACCCAGGGTTTTAGCTTCCGCTACACTAGTAGGAAGACTATTCCATACTCTAACTACATGGTCGTGTAAAGAAGTGCTTCCTCAAATTCGTTTTAAAATGTTCTCCTGTCTATTTCCATCTATGGGTACGAGTTCTAGTATTTAAACTAATATTAAAGAATCGAGACCTGTTAGAATCTTATATACCTGGATCATGTCCCCCCTTAATCTCCTTTGTTTGAGGTGAAACAGATTCAGCTCAGCTAACCTCTCCTACATTGAACCTTCTCCAAGGCAGCCATGTCCTTCTTGAGGTATGGTGACCAAACCTGCACACAATATTCTAGGTGGGGTCTTACCAAGGAATTATATAATTGTACTTAACTTGACTTAAACTCCACACACCTAGAGATGTAACCCAACATCCTATTGGCCTTTTTTATTGCTTCCCCACACTGGCGGGAGTGGGACATGGAAGCATCAACATACACACCGAGATCTTTCTCGTAATCAGCAACCTTTATTTCAGTGGAACCCATAAAATATCTGTAGACCACCCACCTTGGTGTCAATACTGTATGTATTGCTGTCAATATCATTAATGTAAATTAGGAACAATAGTGGTCCTAAAATTGAACCCTGCGGTACCCCACTATGAACGCAGGCCCACTGTGACATTGTGTCTCTAATAACTACTCACTGCTTCCTGTCAGTTAACCAGTTTTCGATCCAAGGCGCTACAGTTCCTAAAATCCCTGCAGCTTTGATCTTAAGCAAGAGGCGTTTGTGGGGGACAACATCAAAGGCCTTCTGGAAATCTAAGTAGATCACATCGTAGGCCTTTTTGTAATCAATTTCTCTTGTAGCTTCCTCAAAGAACTCAAGTAGATTCGATAAACAGGATCTACCTCTCCTAAATCCATGTTGGCTATCCCTCAGAATGTTATTTGCATCCAGGTAATCTACCATTTTCACTTGGATTATAGCTTCCATTATTTTTNTCCATGTTGGCTATCCCTCAGAATGTTATTTGCATCCAGGTAATCTACCATTTTCACTTGGATTATAGCTTCCATTATTTTTCCAGTAATGCTAGTTAAACCGATTGGCCTATAGTTTGCTGGATTACTTCTATCCCATTTTTTGAATATGGGCGTTATATTAGCATGCTTCCAATCTGAAGGTACCACACACACAGATAATGATTTTTGGAATATTAAAGTTAAAGGTTGGCTAATAATATCCCTCATTTCTTTTTAAACTTTAGGTAAGATGCCACCAGGGCCCTGCGATTTATTTATTTTGAGCTTAGCTAGGCTTAGTACCACATCAGCCTCAGTTATACATATATTGGTCATAGACAATGCTGTATTCGTACTAAATGGTGGTAAGTTCTCTACTCTGAACACCCATGTAAAATAATCATTAAACTCATTTACTATATCAATTCCATTTTCAATTATAAGGCCCTTACTATGCTGCAAGTTAGTGATTTCAGCTTTTAGAGCTTTTTTGGAGTTAAAATATTGGAGTCAATATTATTGTCATCCTTAGCCTCCAATGCAATTTTTCTTTCTGCATTCCTCTTAGAAAGTCTAATGCTGTTTTTTTTACTCAACCTGTAGACCTGTAGATACTCCTGCTTAGTTTTGAAATCATTAGTTATTTTCCATTCATGGAAGAGAGCCCTTTTCCTCCTGACTTTATTCTCAATTTCCTTAGTAAACCACCTTGGTTGTAGTTTCCTAGATTTAGTTTTGCTGGTAACAGGTATGAAGTCCTCTTGCACTTACAACAATGTGCTTTTAAAAAATTCCCATGCCTCTTCAACCGTTTTGCTATTTAACTCCATCCAGTTTACAGTTTCTAGTTTCAGTCTCATACCATTAAAGTTAGCCTTCCTAACCTTTCCAGTCCGCAGTTAGCCTCCTACTCACGCCCCCCACCCTTTTTGTCTGGACTACAGTGACACAGCCCTTGGCAACACCACTGCAGATACATACTCTGGGGATTACTCTGAGCTTGTTGTGGCATTGTTCCTCATTTTTCACACCCGCATACTGCGCCCACATATCATAAATACACAGAAATGTTTTACTGTCTGCCACGAAAGAGCATTCCGGGGCGTCCCCAAAGAGCTATCTCAAATTGTAGGTGCTGCCAGGGCACAGATGAGGAACGTAAGAATCGCAGAAGCTGCATTTCCCACTCCCACCAGCAGGTGTCAGAAACTGTGTTGTTAAAACTGTGTTCCAAGACAAACACACCAGTACAAATACAGCAGTAGAGAAACTGCTAAAAGTATTTTATTTACATGACTGCTTCTCGAATTTGTCGTATTAATCCAGCTCCAACACTTTATTAACAGTGAATGCCTTTCTTATCTCATTTAATCTTAGAGATCAAGCTCTTTTAAAGACATAGCAGATCAAAGAATACCACAGGAGGTACGTCAAACAGTCACGTTAGATAATTCTCTCTATTATCGGAGAATATTGTATACCGCAGGAAGCACCTTATATAAAGGACACAACCAAGTCACATTACTGAAAGACCACTGTGGATGTTAATATTTCCCTCACTGCCTGTAAATACAACCCATAAAAATTTCCACCTACAAATACCTGGAGGCACCAAACCTTTGGGAGATCCAACCACTGGCAGATACACCAGTCTTCCCAGTCTAACTCGGCGTGACTTCAGTTTAGCTGTGGGATTAGACTCAGTGGTTCAGGCTGTTGACAACAGAGGTCTGACCTAAAATTGTTGGAATTGGTCTTTTAAAATAACACAAGATATCTCCACATAAAACTGAACCGCTGACACAAGCTCTCTGAGGAAGCAGTGCTGAAAGGATCTTATCAGGTGGTGACAGGAAGTGATGCAACTTGACAGGAAGCACTCACCGAGCTGGATGTCATGCCCAGGCTGGTCTCAATGTAGGTCTCGGTCTTGGGCTCCACAGCCAGCTCTGCTTCCAGAATCTTCTCTACGGGCATGTCCTCGTTGGCACTGCTGGTGGACTCCACCTCATTCTCGTTCCTCTCTTTTGCGCGCTGACGCTCTTCCTGGACAGCTGCATATACCAACACTGTTTTTGGTCACAAATGCCACAGAACTGCACTTCTGGCTTAGCCAATGGGCCGTCGGCCATTCTAACTGAGCCTCGTTAAATGAAAGGATGTTTTTGCTATTTACGCAAGTACAGGTACATTGAAATGCTTCTTTTCACATATGCCATCTTGCTCTCCTTTTAGGCACACATACATTCATACAGTTGAGAATGAAGATTTTGTTTCAACCAACCAGTTGAGTGACTGTGACTCTTCATTCCAAACTGGTTGGTTGAAACAAAATCCTGGTTTGGATTTTTACTTTCTGGACCTGAAATGTCCACCTCTGGGTCTGAGTCCGGGGTCAGGTGGTATTGTCTGGCACCCCTGTGGGATTTTTCAGGGGGTTAAGGGTCAAGGGCTCAGCAGAGATGTGACGATTTTGCAGAGGTCAACTATCAAAACACCAACAACAGAAGCCCACTGAGACCCATTACAAAGTAATTTACCAAAACTTATCCCTGCAGCTTTTTTCCTGAAGCCCCCCCCCCCACTTCATTACGCCTTGGCAATACAGTTCTATACTGTACCATGTTACACAACTTCTGTTTTTGGCACATTGATGTTATTTTCTTAGTTACTGTGCTGAGCTATAAATGAGTATTAATGTGTTCTCACTATGTTGTGCTGTTGTTTTGCAGTAAGTTGTAACTTGTTTGCAAATTATTCCTGCACACTGTGAAAAGATTTATCTAAAAATGAGACTTAGTTGCTTATGCTTTATTGACTGAAATATTGTACCATGAAGTAAAAGTAGATTCCTGATTAGCGAGCCTGACTTCCTGTTGGTGTGGACATACAGGAAGTGGTTTGCGAACCGTGCAGACAGTGTGAACGGGACGCCAACACTCACTGTGGCCAAGGCAGCAGTAACCGCACTTCCGCCCTCTGTGGTTTGGGGATGGGGGGGGG